AGGCGCTTCCCAATTTGTTGATATGAAAAGTTGCGGCTCTCGTAAAAGTCGAATTTTTGTCCCCAATTTTTTTTATACATTTTCTCAAAAGCTACCCTCAAAATACGAGATTTTGGATTCAATAGAGAGAACGAGTGGCGAGAAGCTCCCCTGTCCTGTCCTAGCGACTACGTCCAATTTTTTTGTCGCCATGTTATTATGGCCATCGGAAAGGTCAAACTTTCGATTTTTTAACCGTTTTTGGAACTTTTTGTCCTTTCTCATAACTACCCTTTTAAATCTGAGTTTTTGATTTCAATCGAAAGGAAGGGTTTTGGGAAGCTCCTCCGCTTAAATGGATCCGCCTTAATTTTTAAAACCAAAAGTTATGACCTTAGGAATAGCCAAATTTGTGATTTCTCCTACCGTTTTTGAAACTATTTTAATTTTCTCAAACATTACACTCTTAAAGCTGAGATTGTTGGTTCAATAGAGAGAGCGACTGTTGGTAAGCTCGTCTGCATCATCTTGTACGCCAAAATATTTTTACACCAGAAGTTATGTACCTCTGAGACGTCAAACTTTCGATTTTTTTTACCGTTTTTTGACTTAAACTATCGAAAACTACCCTCCCAAATCTGAGGCGGTGAAAATATGGTAGCCTTCCGATCTATTGCCAAATTTTTGACTTCAAAAAAATTGTTGTTTCATTAGTTTTCAAAGCAATAATTTTTTGACCTATTTTGTTGAAAATAAGCCAGCAACTTGTGAATTGTGCAAGTTTTGCTTCGTTCGATTTCTTGTTTCCCGTTTTCACATCAGTGCGTATTCTTAAAAAATATCAAATAATTACCTCCAGCTTCGGCCGCTATCTAGTGTTTTTTTTGCATACGCTACTGGTATATCTATCGTGGTATGTTTCTTTTAAATTAAAGTTTCAGCTAATTGGATGTCGGCTTCAATTCTGTCGGCTTATTTACCGATGTTTTTTTCTTAAAGTGTAGTACTTTCGAGATCAATGAGACTTTGACAACAATTTTTGACTGCCCAAGTTTAACCCCATTAGGACCTCTTTAAAAACTTGAACAAATTCAAACAAAAAAGAATTTTTTTCATTATTATTTAAATCGTTTTTCCACTTCCTTCTTCAATAGTAACATTGTTCGAAGTTCTGTTTCCTAATTTGTTTCAGCGTCATGGTGCTCTCATCTTATAATTGTTGTATGCCAAGTGGTGCGAAGCTCAGCTTCGCCTCTGTGTACCATAATCCAGAGTTTTGTTAAAATCTAACTTCAATCGAGAAAAAGTATGAAATTTTGGATAAATGTCGGGTAACTTGCAATGATATGCTAGGGTTAAATTGCAAGTGGTGCGAAGCCATGTTTCGTTTTTTTTCTGCGCCCTCAAAAACGGGAGGTTTGCACTAGTGCCATTTGCGGTGACTGTAGTCGCCAGTCGGATTCACCCCGAAAAGGCGGCACCGCTGGACCCAAGCCATGTTTCGCCTCTGTTTGAGATAATTTCTTCAAAACCACTTAACCACCATCAGTTAAATCAAAATTGAAAACATTCATTGAATGCAGACGCGGGACTAGGATTTTCTCAAAAGCGGATTCGCAAAAAATTAAGTTTGGAATTTTTATAAGACCGAACAATTAAGTTCGAATAAATTGAGTTCCTCGGCGCTCCCGGAGCCTTAAAAAGACCTTTTTTTGCAAATTTTTATGCGCCAGTGGTAATTTTTAGGATCAAATTTTAAGATTTTAAGGATGAAACTTTGGATTCAAGATAAATACAGTGCGGATTTAAATTATCCCGACAAATTGAATAAAACTTGAAATTTAAAACGGGTTTTTCTCAAATTGGGTTGAATTTAGACAAAAAATGATCAAGACCAATCTTGCTGAAAATTTTACCAAAATTAATATGGTGCAATTGGTTTTTGCAAAATTTGGGCCCAAAATTTTACGCCAAAAACGATCATTTTTGGTGTTGATTAGTCAATCAGAAAATACTCCAAACATATTTGTTTATTTACTGACAAAACTATATCACTGCAAGCCATTTATGTAGCCCACCAAAATTAAAGAAGGCTGAAAGTTCCTCAGTATTGTATAAACATATTTATTTTTGTTTGATAGCCAATAAATGTCACTTTTACTATATACAACACCCTTTTTTTCAAATAAAAACAATTTTTAAACCTTTTGCGACAATTTTCGGAGATGATTTGGGCCCGAATTTTGCAAAAACAATTGCACCATATTAATTTTGGTAAAGTCTTAAACAAGATTGGTCTTGATCATTTTTTGTCTAAAATCAACCCAATTTCAGAAAAATGCGTTTTAAATTTCAAGGTTTTTTCATTTTGTCCGGATAATTTAAATCAGCTCTGTATATGTTGGCGGCATCACAGAAAGTCCCGGGTCGGTTCAAACCTTGGTCGTAAAATAGAACATTTGGGTGATCAATGGGCCAAAGACGCGAGGGGGAGTCTACCCTATTTCCCTAACTCCGTTACTGATTGAATGATCTATGTTTGTATATTGATTAACCATGGGCACCGTAACCCCGCAATTATTCGCACCTAAATTTTTGACAGTTGTCAAAGAGCTCGTTGCTGTATTGACTGACACCTTGCATTTAGATTTAATCGAAATTGTTCCGTTTTGTCAAAAAAAAATTGGCCAACTAAGTATGAAGTCATGTAGTAACCCTAAAAGTTGCCTGTAAAAATGAGCCACGCTCCTGAACTAGCGAAATATGTGCACCTATGCCGGAAAAGATTAAAAGTAGATGACTTGATTACACTTTGTGCTAGTAAGTCGATAATGTGCCATAAAGGATCGTGGTTCAAAGTTTCTCCAGAGTAAATAAATACTTGCTGCTCTAGAATCTTTCCATAAATTGAGTCTATTGGGTTTAACCGCCCATGAAGTTCTCCCGGGCTACCTGGGAACTATTAAAAAGTTATTAGATTTAATTTCAAAGCTTTGCTAGGACGATCTAATCCGGGTTGGCATGCTTGAAACTGGGGGATCAAAAGCATGTTTTTACAGGAATTGCAGGGTGCTTTGCATGTACCACGGGAGGATCCGACCACAGCTTTCGAGTACACTTTTTTCAATTGTCGTTTTTTTGTGCAGATAGAAATTAAATGTTTCTTCGAATATTGCTAGCGGCTTTAATTGCGTACAGTTATTTTGCAAAATAAAGAACAGAAATAAAAACATTCTGTAGCGAATTTAAGGTTGTGATCCCCCAGGGATTCGATTACGAAATTTGTTTTTTTTTGGTTGTAAATTTGGTGGCTCAATGGGTGTCTGCCGAGTATGAACGGCTTAGTATTTTTCGTTTCAATGTAATTTTTCGCTGGTAATTGTTTTTCTTGGGTTTTTCCCTGAAAATGAATTTCAAACGAGACAAATCACGTTCAAAGACAAACCTATTCAATTCGAGGTAAACTTATAAAGTAGTTGGTAGATTTAATTTTTGGATCTATTTGCAATCTACTTAAACGATTTGGTGGTTTTATCTCATTTTCTATCTGCTAGCTTGCCAGGATATATTTGTGTTGATCGCATCAAGGTCTGCCTTGGTTTTGTGTTTAATTTCGATCGAATCCCGACCTAAAAGGGCTGCTTTAATATCGTATATCACTCAATTTTAGACACCCTTCTAAGGTTTATTTGTAGTAACTGATTTAGCATCAGCGGTTTTAGGGGTGGGGGCGGACGCCTCTCCCCCCTTGTCCCCTCGGGATTCGACCCCCTTTGTACCATTTTGAAGTATCAATTTTCGGCTGGCTGACACTAAAATTTTTCTAAAGGCGCGTTCGGCGCCAAAATTCATTAATTTTGAGGTAGGTGCGCGCGCCGAAAAAACGCGATTTTTTGGTCAAAAATTTTCCAAAAAAAGCCTTTAAGCTCCTTTTTTGGCTTTTTTCCAAAATTCGTCTGCGGAGCTTCCTGAATACTAGACAAAACAAATTTGACAAACTTTTTTGCGCCGCAGGCAAAATTTTGAAAAAAAAAATAATGTCAAAAACGCCGTTTTTAGGCGCTTCTTGAAAAAAATGGACCTAAAAATCGCGTTTTATCGGCGTGGTTCCCCTCCAAAATTAGTGTATATTGGCGAATTTACAAAAATTTTAGGGGGTTTGTCGGCCAAGAATGGGCTTCATTACGCTTGCAATCATCAAGCGTCATCAAACCGGAATATAGACTGTTTTTCGGGTTAACAACTTGTTTAACAGAATCACTTGTATCTTTGTTCATAATGAATTCAAACTTTTATGTGTTTCCGACACTTAGCCTGAAGGTGAAGAATTCGCATGGGACGGCGAAGGCCCATTCGTTTCCAAAAAAATTTCGGCCTGTAGTTTGTCTGTTTTTGTCAGCTTTTAATTGCCACATCGTAGAAGTATTTATTTTTTCAATGTAATTGCTTTTTACTAGCCTTTTAATTTTTTGATTTTACTAGCCTTGACTTCGTATATTCTGCTGTTTTTTTGCTTAAAAAAATTATTCGGCTTAAATGATTTAGCACATATTTTATCGGTTTAGCCACCTAATTTGGAGTCATTTCAAAGGAAGCATAAATTTTATGCTTCATTGCGGATCGCAAAAAATGCTTAAGTTCTGAGAATAGAGTTTATAGTTCAAGTTTTTTCATGACAACAATTTTATTTTCGACTCTACCTAAAATTATTTATTTTGGTCGGCTCAGTTGCCGCCTGTTAGTTTTTTTTTTGAATTTTCCTTAATTGCCGTAGATTGTGTTTCTGGACGTGTTTTCCATAAATAGAACATGATTCCAGTAGTGTTCTTCGGTTGTTTTTGAAGGGTTTTTGGTCTTAGTGGCTTTCTTTTTCTGTCTGCTAGCTTGCACTGTTATTTTTGTGTTTTTATCGCATGTGGTGCGAAGCTCCACTTCGCCTCTGTCCTGATAAAATAATACTTAAGGAGGACCCTTTTGATGAAGAGGTGTGTGCCATACTTATTAAATCCGGCCCTGTACATCGGTAATTTTCTATAAATTTTCAGTTTAAAATTTTAATGCCAGTTCAGCCCAAATCCGCTAAACAATTGAAAACAAATCATTTTCTAGTATCTCTTTCACACATCTTTAGCAGGTCTACTTTTGAATTCTGGCTGAAATATCAAATGGCTGGAAAACAGTTTAGCTGATGATTGATTCAGAGCAATGCTGTGCGGAAGTTGGATGCCGAGCTCAAATGAAATTATATATGTATTCTCGAGACATGTTCTTGACTGATCCTTAAATTGTTTTTTGGTTATCGAAATGCAGCAACTGAAGAAATAACAGAATGGCTTAATCAGGTCTGCAGTTGGCTTCAACTGACGGTATGAGCCAGTTGGACTTTGATGGCCATCGCGATAAAACATTTGATAGTGGGAAACTGACAATCGAGAGAGTAGCAGACTTGTTAGGACCACAAGCAATGCTCAGCCCAATAAGTAACAGTGAGTAGATCAAAATAAGAAACATTGGACTATTTATCCAATATTTTATCAACCCCGTTACACCTTTGAAAAAGTTGAAGCTCCATACAAAGAGGGGTGTTAAGCTTCTGATCGAAATGCATTCGTTTTTTCGGAGCTTAACTGTCGCCTAACGCGTAAAAATATTTTTGGGGCAGGTAACGTTCAAATCTATATGAAGAGGCGAAGGCCGTAGTCAAGTCACCTTCTATAGGCAACTCAACTCACGGAGAATAGCCTAATTATACATTTAAAGGTCGCTGAAACAGAACTTATTGTTGTTGGGCGAGGGAATAGTTGACAAAATATTATTAATAGAGAAAAAAAACATGTCAGGTATCTTGGAGTTTTGGATGACAAAATCTTACTTTTAAGCTGAGTCAATTAGTTTTTTAGCTGTTGCGATTAAGTCAATATACTGCGTGCGACATATCATCCCGTTAGAAATAAGAGTTATGCGTTTCAATTGGGGTTAGGAAATTAGACGATAAGTAAATTAGACGTGACCAACAAAATCAAATTTAGACGTTAAATTGTTTTTGCAAAACTTGCATTTTGACGGAAAGCAAAGGGCTAACAAAACTTCTTGCTTAAAACAAGTTTTCATTACACAAGCAATGTTTGTGTTATAGTATGAACAATCTTTTTTTTCCAACCTAAGTCGCAAATATTGTTGCGACGCAAATATTGTTGCGATAAAATATGTTCATTTTGAAAGTGTTCTTTTTGATCAATAAACAGCTATTAAGTATAGCCAATGCTAAGGATTTAAACACAGACTATTATTTTTCCGACTTTCGTAACGAAAGTAACGGAATGTTTGTGCTCGGGGAGGGTTTTTTTCTTCAGACAAATTTCGACTTTTTAACTAGCCATTTTTGACAGAATTTTTTTATAGCATTCAAAAAGTATTGTTGTCCTGAGCTTAAATATGGAAAGATATTTTACCTTTGATCATTTTTTGTAAAGCTATGGGGGTTTGAAAGTTGCCATTTTGGCCAATTTGGGACAATTAACGCGCGATAAATTTCGCGCTATCAACGCGTAAGCGGCGATTTAATCCGTCGTAGAAATCGTTCCAAATTAGTTGTAAGAAGCTTATTTTCCATAATTGATTTGTTACTAGGAGCTAAATTTATCACTTTAATTTAATATGGCGTGTGGGGTGATGATTTTCACAAAAAATCTCAAATTAAAAAAATATATATTTTATTTTTGTTACATTCAATTTTTTCATGTTATTACTGCTCCATAGACTGCTCTATAAATTAAGGCATGTTAGTTGGTAATTTTCTTTTTTTTCCAAATTGACTGGTACCTCTAATGCGTCATAATTGTAGACTCAAAGTTATACTCATTCATGTTCTGACAGAAGCGTTATCGGTCATATTTTTGCTTGTGTATGCGAAGTGCAACTTCGCCTCTGTGCAGTTACATAAAAAGTAAATGAGCCCATTGCATATCAAAGTATTTATCACAATTGATTTATAAAACGTTAATCTCAATATAAAACATTTTTGAAAAGCATAAATTATACAATTGAGGCATGTGAAAATTGCGGCATGTGAAAAGTTGATTTGCATTTGAGAAAGCTCGAACGAAAGTTAATTGTAGTCAGTAAACAAATTTCGGACGCGAACAAAGCAATTACTTCTTATTTCCCATATTTGTATTTTTGCATCGACGCCTAAATTCGTATTTGTTGGCCACGTCTAATTTGCTATTCGACTAACTTCCTAGGCCAGTTTTAAAATACTGAGTAGTTGCTCATTTATCTTTTAGTTCAAATTTTTTTTTACAAGTCTACCCTCTTCTCAAACTTACAGAGTAAACAGACAGTTAGCTAGGGAATAAAATGTGTTATCTTCACAGAAAATATGATCATGCACGAGATTTTCTCAAGTCTTAAGTTTTACCAGCCGAACTATTCATGACCCAGCCTAGCTTGTCTATAATGTTCGATGTGGCGAAAAATTTTAAGACAAACGGAAGTTGGTAGGGAATATATCTATAGCAGAGTACCTGTCAAAATAAACAAACGCACAAAACAAATAAAACAAAACAGATTGATAAAAACAAAATAGAGAAAGAAATCGAGCAAACAACAATTGTAGTAAATAGACCAGCTTAAATGTGGAGCGGAGCTGAGAAATGTTAAATCAAAACAAAAATTTGAATTTGAAGTTGATAGACATACACGAAAAGATTCCCATTGATCGATCCATTGGTTCATTTCACAGGACGGTCAGAAAGTATAGTCTTTTGTCAAGTGCTCAGAATTTCTCGAAATCTAACTTTTTGATTAAGGTTCACACAAATCAATGAAGTGCATATGTTAAACACGCTTCGAAGATGATCAATCTTAAATTTATGCTAAAAAAATTAAGAAGTTAAAAAGTGGATATTTTTGATGTTTTTGCTTTTAGCAAGTGAACATGAGTCTGGAACAAGCACCGGGACAAGTCTGGACAAGCTGGGAGCTCTCAGAGTGGATCCAATATCCATTCCCACCTCCTCTCCCTCCTACCCCACCATTGCTCCGGTTTTGTCTCCCCAATCGCAGTCCAGGTCAACCACCACACCCGCACACCTCACAGCTGCAGGTTAGTTTGGGATTAAAGATCGATTAACACCTTCTAAGTGCTTCTGAAGTTATGAATCATGAAAAGAGTTTTTTAAATGAATGCGAACTGGCTTAAAAATCAGTTTCTTTTGTAGCAACCATCTCTCACATAGCAACCATCATCTTTAGTAAAGTTACATAATTTTTCAAAGGAGAAGTTAAACTTATATGGGCACGTGTAACGGTTGGAAGCTGAACTACTGGTAAATAATTATGGGGAGGAAAAAAATCTAGGGGAATATTAGAATAGGTAGTACATTGGGAAATCTTACTGCATTCATCATTGTTTCGTGAAGCGAGCATAATGTTTTCAATTCAAAAATTTGAACAAACAACTTCTTTTTTTGAATTTTTTTTCTATGATTGAAGTGTTCTCCACGAAGTTTTTTTTCTTCAAGTGTTTGGCCATGTATATCTTATTTGATTACGCTAGCGATCAGCTAGCGTTATCTAATCGGGACATAGATTTTTTTCAAGCTGACAACTTGATTTATTGAAACAGTTGATAGAATGGCTTATAATCAATTCAAATCGCGAGGCGACAAATGGTTGAAAGCGAGTATTCGAACAGTTTCGAGAAAGGAACAGCTCGTACCAGAGACAATTAGCATGTTTTAATTGATATGTCGCAATCGGGTTGATACGTGTTGAGTGCCTGCTAGATCCGAGACTGCTTACGAAAACACCTGGTTATTTTCGGCTCGAAGCGCCCACGCTCTCGTTGCGTGCCCACCGCTTGACCACTGATTTCAGCAAATAAGACTTTGGATTTCAGCAACTTATTAAGCTTAAGTAGAAATTTTCTGATGCCTTCATGTAAGTTCAAAATTTGTCGGGTTTGGTCTATCGCACAATGAAATATAGTTTTTGGCTTTATACTAGTTATAGTACTTAGTTTTATTGCTTTTATCCGGATAATTGAAATCAGATGATCGTTCCGACCATTGAAAATATACCAAATTTTGAGTGGTATACTGGACTGCGAGTCATATATCATATTTGAGCCCTTTTGGTCGTGATTCGAACGACATTGATGAATTTTCAAAATCTTGTCCCAGTATCGAGAAAAACAGTTTTTTTTATTTTTAGTTCAAACTAGAGCGAATTCAGCGAGCGAGCAGGCTTACACTAGCTTTTTTATTAATAATTTAAGCCGTGAAATTTTATTTTGCTCAAGAAAAGTTAGTTTTTGAAATTTTCAGCGCCATTTTGGGAATTATGCTAAAAAAATGGCGCTAAAAATTTCAAAAACTACTTTTTTTTTAGTGAAACTAATTTTTTACGGCTTAAATTAAGCATAAAGAAGCTATTGAAAATTTTTTGATTCAATGATTTTTTGGTCTCGTCATTTTTCTACAAAAACTGTTGTCCAATTTGCCTATTTTACTAGGCCTCGAGTATGCCTAAGTTCTAGTTTTTCGTTCAGATCCTTTTATCGCAACACTCAGAAGAAAAAGACACTAATTTGAGACTACTTGCCCAGTAAGCGGCTATCCTTGTTTTATATGGAATTTGCTGTCTTTAAAAAAACTGTTGTAAAATGAGGGAGGCTTTCACGAAACCCCAAGCTCAACAATACGCATTGTGTCTTTTTCACTATGCAAAATGTATTTATATGGCCGATGCTATGCAGCGAAACGTTTTTTCTTCATAATTTTCGTTATTGTTCCAACCATTGAAAATGGGTAGGAACTTTGTATTCTGGTAGTTTTGTAATTTTTTTGTTTTCCTGTAAAATCCGGTATCACAAATAATCATCAGAATAGGTCGAGTGATTTTCATTTTAAAGCCCTTTTAGTCGACATTAAAAAATTCGAACGACATAAAAAAATTGTCAAACAGTTGTCCCTGTGTCCAGATAAACCAGTTCGAAATTTTTGAGCCAGCAAAGCGATCGAATAACGTTCGTTATACATGACAATTGGACATTTAGGCTTAGAAAAACTGGTATGTACTAGTTTTGGAACCTTCATTTAGCGCTTCCTTGGCAATGAAATGTTTTTCGATTGTTATTCATTTTGTGAAGGCAACTCTAGTCGGTTATGCCTAACTCTTACTTTCTATGCTATCGTCATACGACACTAATTTGATGAAAAAAATTTTTTAAGTTTTTTTACGTATGTGGTCGGAAACATTCTGCGCGACTAGCACAGCAACCAGCTATCCTTGTTTAATTTTGTAGTTGCTAGTTTTACCAGCTTTGGTATTGTATAATTAAAGTATTATTTTCTTCCCTTAAAAAATTTTTTTGCTTTGAATTATGTCAGATTAGATAAGTCACCGTAAAAACTAGGAGTTTCAAAATTTTATAGCTTTAATTTGTATGATACAAATTTTTACTGACGGGGGCGTTTACCCAAGTATTGCCGTCTGATTAATCGCTTTGTAATTTTTGTCTGAACGATAACTTAACACTGCCTAATGTTTTTTTTTGACATGATCTCCCGAACTGAATTTAATCAGATACTTAAATTGGAAAAATTTGGTGGATATAATTTTTTCAGAAGTTTTTTGTAGATCTTGTAGATTTTTGTTGATTAATTTTGCAATGTTCCACTTCGCCTTTATAATAATTGGGAATATTTCTAATTAATGAATCTCGAAAACTTGTTTTCCATTTTTATTACTATAAACTGAGTGCTTGAAGAATATCTGAAGAGCATAGCTGATTCGCGTCAGCAAATTTTATTGACAAATTTGAAGTTCGAAGTGGGAGGCCTTAAAATTAATCAATTAATTACATTATGAGTATAACCAAACAAAAGAACGAGAAAAAATTTAAGCAGCGGCTATCAACATCAGTTAAGGAACCTTCTGAAGAACTTCCGAAGTTATTTATTTAAGAATATTTCACTGAAGTAGATTTTCAATATTCAACTATACAACATATTTGATTGTTTTAGGCATGTCACCGATCAAAAGACAGCGTGCCCTTTCCACGAATGAGAAAGAGAGGCCTCCCTTATTACAGTCGACAAAAAGAGAGATCTACACGAGAGGAAGACCCCCCTGGTAAAGCCATTTGAACATCACTTAGGCTAAACCAGTACCCCCTTTTGTATCTCTTTAGCAAAAGGATATATGGCTCTATTGTGCACCCCAAGACTTCATTTGCGCATTTAATTGTTCCTGAAAAACTGGTATTCTATTTTCCTACTAGACTTTGCGGTTTTCATGCCTCACGAAATAGTTGTTTATTTTATTTGCATGTCAGAGCAGATAGCTGAATTTTTCGGATGTTAGAATCGCAGAAGGTATGAACATGCTAGTGAAAGCTAAGCTTTATTGACAGTTGACTAATGTCTTGAATTTCACCCTGAAAACAAATAACCATGTTGTTTAAATGCTTCATTTAATCTAAGTGATTCATTGATATCCCATAAATGGCGAGCATGGTCTCAATTTAATTTGGGATGATTTGGTAGTGCGGTATAATTAGCCACGCATAAATAAATAATTTTGCGTTTTTCGTATAAATAAAATCTTTACAGCGCGCATAAATTAGTGCAGAGCATGGCCAAATTGGTAATGTTCAAACCCCCAGAAATTTTCAAAAAGTTATCTCCAGAGCTTTACAAAAAATTCAACTATTTTTTTTATATTTGAACTCAGGTAGTCGATATATTCAATGGAGTATAGAAAATTTTTGGTAAAAGCTATTGTTTCGACGGCCGAAATTTGACTGAATATAAAAAACCACCCTATGGATTATATTCGGCATTTCTTCGAAAGTTGGAATGATAATGTTGCATACAGCTAAATTGGTACATTTGGTGCATTTCAATATGATCTCATTATAACTGTTCTTTTGGCTTTCGAAATACGGTGCTCTGCTCTATTCAGTTAAGGAACATAACGTTCCTGGCACACCTCTTTTTAATTAAAGTTTTTTATTTAGGGCTTGAACAGAAAAATATTTTGATGCAAACGGGTCTTTGTTTGACAGTAATACAGTTCCACAGGTCTACAAAGGGTTTTGAAAATTTTGAAGTCAGCTTGCGAATCATTCCAATTTTTGGACCATTCGAATGTCGTCGGAACATGAATGGAAAAGTTCAGCGACCAGAATTGAGGGTTATAGTGGCCGATACCGTCTTTATCGTATAAGAAAGGATTTTATGATGCCTGTGAATGATCTTTTTATATAAAATGTGTGCAGAAAAATAACGAGTGTTGGAAAAAATTGCAAAGGGCTTCCTCAGCTCCTTTTATTTGCACGTTTTTTACAAGCCCCCGGCCCTTTTCCTTGCTAGGCTTTCGTGGGGTGAGGGGAGTTATTCATTTGGCCATAGCCGTTCTCACCTCAGGAGGCATTGAGAACCCTCCGATATTTCGATCTCTCTGAAAGTTTTGGGATGACATTGGAAACCCTCCTACCGTGATCAATTGTTTGTAGGTACACTCTGACTGGTAACAACATGAAGGAAGCCTTCATCATAGGTTTGTCAGGTGGCAGTGCCAGCGGGAAGACCACTGTAGCTGCCAGAATAATAGAGGAACTAGATCTGCACTGGGTCGTCATCCTATCAATGGACTCATTCTACAAGGTAAGAATGTTTACCCCCGAAATTGGCGAGAAAATTAGGTAACACATAATTTGCTGTACTGTTGTAAATGACGTAGTAACATTTAGTCCATTCGTTATAAATTTTACCACCGTAACCAATTTTGAAAGAATTGGACAGTTTTGGACCGCTCGGACAGTTTTCGTTACCAAGTGGAAACCCGTAGCTTGCCCGATAAACTATTGAGTGGCTTTTTTATGTGGAGTATCTGAACATTATAGAACAAAAGTATTCGCTATTCAAAGCAGTTTTATGTGACTGGATGGAGAACTGGCATTTTTCATCTTATGTCTTTAATATAAAGAAAGTCAGAATTTTTTGCCATCGATGCTATGCTTTCATTTCCTGTCGAGCGCAACTTTCAATAAATTACTCTCAGCTTGACAGAATATGTTGAATCTTGAATTCTCGAGAACTTTTTTCTTCAAAGTCAACGGTACCAACAAGATCAGCTTGAATAACTCCAAGGGTAAATAGTACCGGAATAGTTCTTGTCTGATTTTTTGTCTGAATCGAGTCAAACCCAGGCGCCGGCGGTTAAAAACCGAGCCATGTAATGGTCTGATCCGCCGCTCTCACTACAGATTATATCACTGCTGCGGCTGGATCCATTTGAAATGCATCGGCCATAACTCAATTAATCAACACACACACTTCTGCTGCCCAAACTGTTAATACTAATAACTACTATCCAGAAATACCTACCCGCCTTTCATTCTACACCCAACACAACTCATCGACTCATCGCCTACTTACTCATACTAGACTACTCACATCACACTCACCTGCATACCATATCCATCTCCCAACGTAAGACACTCCACATCCACCTGAACACCGGTCCAAAAGACCATCATCCCCCCCCCCCCCCCAAAAAAAGAACTTCAATTCCCCGAACCCCTACACTCACCGACACAACTAAAACCCCCACTCGAAATACCCCGAGAAACCGCTCACGTAACTCTATCATCCCTCATGATTCTTCTAACCGTCTTCATTTATTGCAATGTAATTGCAACGGCTTCGGTGGTAAGGCACGTAATTTTACTCTCGACAGAAACAAGTAAGACCCCCTGATGCTCTTGCACGAAACCAAGCGCAATTCAACAGCAATACTCGCTTCGTGGTAACTATTATATTGTCAGCAATGACAGCGAAAAGGAAAGTAGAAGACTCCTTTTGGCAATAGTCAAAGATATCCCCTACGAACTAGACTCCCGACTCCTTTGGAATCCCAGACAAAAAAATCATCACCAAAGATGGAAAAATCTCCCTGACTAACTTCTACATACCTCCGCGATCCTCGTGCCTCGAAGGCTACCTAGGATCTATAAATTACCAACAAGCTCAGCTTGATTAACTCCAAGGGTAAATAGTACCGGCATAGTTCTTGTCTGATTTTTGTCAATATTTTCATTTCTAAAACGAGCTAACTAAAAATTTCCAGCAAATTTCTTGCTTTGATTTTTTATTCTAACAAGCTGTACGAATGCGATTGTGTGCTCCAGCCGGAGAAGGCGCTTCGAAGAAATGAAACTGGCAAAGACAACTTTGCAAATGTCTTCACTCCCCTTTTATCCTGAAGAGGACCAGTGCGACTGAAAAACTGAATCGTTTTCGGTAAGAGGATGTTCAGGACCGGCTTGGACACTCCTCTTACTACTACATAATGTCCAGAATTGAGTCAAACCCAGGCGCCGGCGGTTAAAAACCGAGCCATGTAATGGTCTGATCCGCCGCTCTCACTACAGATTAGGTCACTGCTGCGACTGGATCCATTTGAAATGCATCGGCCCTAACTCAATTAATCAACAACACACACTTCTGCTGCCCAAACTGTTAATACTTATAACTACTATCCAAAAATACCTACCCGCCTTTCATTCTACACCCAACACAACTCATCGCCTACTTACTCATACTAGACTACTCACATCACACTCACCTGCATACCATATCCATCTCCCAACGTAAGGCACTCCACGTCAACCTGAACACCGGTCCAAAAGACCATCATCCCCCCCCCCCCAAAAAAAGAACTTCAATTCCCCGAACCCCTACACTCACCGACACAACTAAAACCCCCACTCGAAATACCCCGAGAAACCGCTCACGTAACTCTATCATCCCTCATGATTCTTCTAACCGTCTTCATTTATTGCAATAAAATTGCAACGGCTTCGGTGCTAAGGCACGTAAGTTTACTCTCGACTGAGAAACAAGTAAGACTCCCTGATGCTCTTGCACGAAACCAAGCGCAATTCAACAGCAATACTCGCTTCGTGGTAATTATTATATTGTCAGCAATGACAGCGAAATGGAAAGTAGAAGACTCCTTTTGGCAATAGTCAAAGTTATCCCCTACGAACTAAACTCCCGACTCCTTTGGAATCCCAGACAAAAAAATCATCACCAAAGATGGAAAAATCTCCCTGACTAACTTCTACATACCTCCGCGATCCTCGTGCTTCGAAGGCTACCAAGGATCTATAAATTACCAACAAGCTCAGCTTGATTAACTCCAAGGGTAAATAGTACCGGAATAGTTCTTGTCTGATTTTTGTCAATATTTTCATTTCTAAAACGAGCTAACTAAAAATTGCCAGCAAATTTCTTGCTTTGATTTTTTATTCTAACAAGCTGTACGAATGCGATTGTGTGCTCCAGCCGGAGAAGGCGCTTCGAAGAAATGAAACTGGCAAAGACAACTTTGCAAATGTCTTCACTCCCCTCTTATCCTGAAGAGGACCAGTGCGACTGAAAAACTGAATAGTTTTCGGTAAGAGGATGTTCAGGACCGGCTTGGACACTCCTCTTACTACTACATAATGTCCAGAATTGAGTCAAACCCAGGCGCCCGCGGTTAAAAACCGAGCCATGTAATGATCTGATCCACCGCTCTCACTACAGATTAGGTCACTGCTGCGACTGGATCCATTTGAAATGCATCGGCCCTAACTCAATTAATCAACAACACACACTTCTGCTGCCCAAACTGTTAATACTAATAACTACTGTCCAAAAATACCTACCCGCCTTTCATTCTACCCCCAACACAACTCATCGACTCATCGCCTACTTACTCATACTAGACTACTCGCATCACACTCACCTGCATACCATATCCATCTTCCAACGTAAGACACTCCACATCAACCTGAACACCGGTCCAAAAGACCATAATTCCCCCCCCCCCCCCAAAAAAAAAGAACTTCAATTCCCCGAACCCCTACACTCACCGACACAACTAAAACCCCACTCAAAATACCCCGAGAAACTGCTCACGTAACTCTATCATCCCTCATGATTCTTCTAACCGTCTTCATTTATTGCAATGTAATTGCAACGGCTTCGGTGCTAAGGCACGTAAGTTTACTCTCGACTGAGAAACAATTAAGACCCCCTGATGCTCTTGCACGAAACCAAGCGCAATTCAACAGCAATACTCGCTTCGTGGTAACTATTATATTGTCAGCAATGACAGCAAAAAGGAAAGTAGAAGACTCCTTTTGGCAATAGTCAAAGTTATCCCCTACGAACAAGACTCCCGACTCCTTTGGAATCCCAGACAAAAAAATCATCACCAAAGATGGAAAAATCTCCCTGACTAACTTCTACATACCTCCGCGATCCTCGTGCCTCGAAGGCTACCAAGGATCTATAAATTACCAACAAGCTCAGCTTGATTAACTCCAAGGGTAAATAGTACCGGAATAGTTCTTGTCTGATTTTTGTCAGTATTTTCATTTCTAAAACGAGCTAACTAAAAATTTCCAGCAAATTTCTTGCTTTGATTTTTTATTCTAACAAGCTGTACGAATGCGATTGTGTGCTCCGGCCGGAGAAGGCGCTTCCAAGAAATGAAACTGGCAAAGACAACTTTGCAAATGTCTTCACTCCCCTCTTATCCTGAAGAGGACCAGTGCGACTGAAAAAGTGAATCGTTTTCGGTAAGAGGATGTTCAGGACCGGCTTGGACACTCCTCTTACTACTGCATAATTTCCAGAATCGATTCAAACCCAGGCGCCCGCGGTTAAACACCGAGCCATGTAATGGTCCGATCCGCCGCTCTCACTACAGATTAGGTCACCGCTGCGACTGGATCCATTTGAAATCAATCGGCACTAACTCAATTAATCAACAACACACACTTCTGCTGCCCAAACTGTTAATACTAATAACTACTATCCAAAAATACCTACCCGCCTTTCATTCTACACCCAACACAACTCATCGCCTACTTACTCATACTAGACTACTCACATCACACTCACCTCCATACCATATCCATCTCCCAACGTAAGACACTCCACGTCAACCTGAACACCGGTCCAAAAGACCATCATTCCCCCCCCCCCCCCCAAAAAAAAGAACTTCAATTCCCCGAACCCCTACACTCACCAACACAACTAAAACCCCCACTCGAATTACCCCGAGAAACCACTCTCGTAACTCTATCATCCCTCATGATTCTTCTAACCGTCTTCATTTATTGCAATAAAGTTGCAACGGCTTCGGTGCTAAGGCACGTAAGTTTACTCTCGACTGAGAAACAAGTAAGACTCCCTGATGCTCTTGCACGAAACCAAGCGCAATTTAACAGCAATACTCGCTTCGTGGTAACTATTATATTGTCAGCAATGACAGCGAAAAGGAAAGTAGAAGACTCCTTTTGGCAATAGTCAAAGTTATCCCCTACGAACTAGACTGCCGACTCCTTTGGAGTCCCAGACAAAAAAATCATCACCAAAGATGGAAAAATCTCCCTGACTAATTTCTACATACCTCCGCGATCCTCGTGCCTCGAAGGCTACCAAGGATCTATAAATTACCAACAAGCTCAGCTTGATTAAATCCAAGGGTAAATAGTACCGGAATAGTTCTTGTCTGATTTTTGTCAATATTTTCATTTCTAAAACGAGCTAACTAAAAATTGCCAGCAAATTTCTTGCTTTGATTTTTTATTCTAACAAGCTGTACG